CCCACAATTATTATTGTGTGCACAAAGTCCAGTAATGTATTGTGAGTAGCTGTCAATGAATCCATGGATTACAATCTTCCACTGAATAAGGCCTGTTGATTGTGTAAAACATACCAAGAACAAGTGGTGAATAAAGTAGTACTTGCCATGCTGACTATCATGATGAGTTATGGAATTAGAACTCTTGACATTGTATACTCACTGAGTAATACAGCGCACACCAAATGCAGCCACAGGAGGGCCATGGACCCAGGAATATGATGCTTGAATACAAGAGTGAGGTATACTGACTCCCATGTAATGAAGTTGGCCATTAATCATGTGACAGCCTAGACATGGGTAATGAGTGAGAATGTGCAGCATGGCACTGTCCAGATCATCATCAGAGAGTACTGATTGAGCTCTGGTGGAGGATGTATAGTATCTACATGTGACACCACCTTTGTCAGTGAATTCAATATATACTGGGTGTCCTGGTTCTACAAGCTCATTTTCTAGCACCCAGTGTTGAACAGTGCATGAGGATACACCAAAAATGCCTCCAAGACATGTGGGTCCAGCAAATTGCAAGGCTGTCTCTAGAATGTCAGGGTTGATTTCAATATGAGGGCATCCATGAGATTGGTTCTGGATGGTAGTGACAGCTTCTATAGGTGGAGCACCAGGGTAATCTGCTGATCAGCCCTTTGCTTTATCAAGATCAGCTACCATTAAATCCAGACTGGACTCCATAGTAGCCAATGTGACTTCTGGTACGATCGCACAATGTTGAAATAATTATTAGATATCATGCAGGAAGCTGATATTGGAGTGACTTACCTGCATTATATCAGCTCTCAACTGTTGGCACACTTTAACATGTAGCTGAAGGTGAGCAGCATCACCCAGCTGAGTAAGAAGGGCAACATGGACATCATCTTTCAATTGGTTGAAAGAACAGATAATGTTATGTAATGGGAGAGGGAGGTGAGTGATGTCAACACTGTCATCACTCATGAGAATAGCAAGGTCAGAGATAGAGACCACCTTTCAGACCTCGGGGTTGGAACTTGGTGGGTGCTAAGATAGGCTGCATGACCAGTATAGCAATCAGCCAACTTGATATTCAGTAGCATGAAACTCATGAGACTTCTCTATATGGGAGACATAGTTATAAAATTTGTTCTGCAAAATTTACAATTGTCTGCACCAGTCCAATGGTCTCCAAGGATAACATATACAAGCAAGATGTGCATAATCCAGCCCTCCTAAACCTGATATGGGCGAGTCTGGCACCTAAGAGTTGGAAAAAGAGGTGAAAGCAATGCCAGGAAACCGGAGTAACTGAAGAAGCATGCCCCAGCAAGGGCTTGCTCACTGGCTGCCCTGTTGCTGCATTGCACAGTTGCACAATACAATCATCTGATCCAGTCACAATGTGAGTCCCATTCAGCAAGAATAAGACTGAGTTGGTGTAATCAGTTTGTCCACTGATCACAGTCTGAACAACCATCAAGCTGATATCATGTCCAGATACCACATGAAGAGGAAACCATGCAGAAAACATTTTGGATAGTGCAGAGTTGATGGGTGAGAATAGCATTGCTGATATATAGTGTGGTGTGCTGTGCAAGACAACACCACAGAAGACTTGAATAAATCTCTGCACATTGATTGTAGCAGATGAGGCATGTGCGAATCCAGTCTGACCCTACAATTGCAATTGTGCATTAGAATGCATGTTATCTAATGCTCAATAACCTTGCATTCACCTTCAACCACTTGGGACCATGCCGCTGATCACATTCATAAGGCTGAGTACCTCAAGCTAGAGTAACAGTTGCTCATGCTCAAAGAATGATTTGATTTCTTTGGCAAGTTCTGGTCCATCAGGAAATCACAGAAGGATGCATGAAGGGGCTGGATGGGGGTATGTGTATGATTGTCTCATTGTTAGCTCAAGTAGAACCTTAGCTGACATCAGACACACATTTGAATAGGATGAAGGCCTCAAGTGCTTGAGTCTAGACAAGACTTGCATGACCACTCTACAACACTGTGCAAACATACCTTTTCTCTGAAGGGGGTTCACTACAACATGTCTGCCTCCACCAGTAAGAACAAATATGACCTTCTAGCAATGGTCATTGGAAGCTGTAGACAGACATGATACCACTTACAAAGTATTTGTAAAGAACTGAAGGTGCACTCACTGTCAATCTGACTGTGACCTTCTGCCAGGTGGGAATTGAGCCAACTGAAATTCTGAATACAGTACACTTGCTCATAATGCATAATTGTCATAATGCATCACCTTTGGGTGGGTCCCATTGTGGGATGCAGGCAATATGCATGCAAAATGCATAATGCATAACACATAAGCCTCTGGGCTGATTTATGCATTATGAGGAGCCTTGGTAACACATCAGGCCATGTTCAGGTCAGCATCAGTCACTGTCAGCACCTATACTAATGTAGTTTAGACTATCTAAAGTGCATAGTGGTGTCAAAATTTGTCTTTGTTCTCCTCTCACATGCCCAATAAGACCCACAAATCACAGGAGAAGCCAGCTCCCTACAAGCAGTGCTTGCAGACAGTCACAAAGAACAAAGATACACCCACTACCTCAGCCAAACCTCATAAGGTCATGACTTGAAAAAATCTCACCTTAAATGACTGGCTCACTATCTTCACATACATTAATACCCATCCCCATCAGTCACAAGCCAAAATTGTTTCACACTTCAAAAAAGAACTTGCAGGGGCTTGAGCAAAGCAGACAACAATAGATTCCTACTTCAGTAAATAGAAAATGATATGCTCTGCTCTCAGCTGTCACACTCTTGAGGGAGGTCACATGGGATCACAAAATGTGTCACATATGTCACACAACTTGGTTATGCATAAGGGGTGATAATGCATAGCCTGGGAGGGGTCCCGACATTATGCATTATGAAAAAGTGTACTGTACTAGATCAAGGTTGGGTCAGAATTCATCCATGATCGTCATAATGTGCTCACCACACATTCTACTAATCCCACAGACTTTCCAGCATCCATTGCAACATGAAAAGCTTCTGCAGTTGGATGTAGTGCAGCACCAGAATTGCTGCCAGCGATCATTTCTTCATAGGTCATCTCTAGCTGATAGATGAGGCCAGTGATGACCGACATATGCTTTGAAACAAAGAGATATAGGAATAAAACAAGGGCTACTGGGTGTAATTCATTATGCGGGGGACAATTGATGTTGTTGTTGCCAAGACAGTTTTGGACAAAGGTAGGTTAGGTTGAGTAGGGTTAGGGTCCATCCCAGGACAGATTGCCATATATAGAGAATGAGCAACAGGTTAGGGTTTGATGAGTGAGAGTGTGGATGCACTGGGAAGAAAGGCTTGTTGCAACAGAGACATCTTGGGGGTTATTACCAGGCCTGGAACAGAGGGTTGGTGGGCACACAAGAAAATGGGCAGTAGGCAGGCATGAAGAGGAGAGCGGTAGGCAATGATAGGGGTGGGCAAGGAAATGGGTGGACAAGCAGGTGGGCAAGGAAACAGGCAAGCAAGGTTTGAAACATCCAGTGGGGTTTAAACTCTGCTTGGAGTTGACTAGCAAGGTCATCCGGTCACCAGTCAAATTTTCAAAAGGTCAAACCACAACTAGTGAATAAATAATTACCATACAAGGAAATTGCAAGCACATCATGCACCCTCCAGTACTGTGACACATGACCTGACATGTGGCACCATGTAGCTCATCATTGACAGCAATGAGTAGGACTCTACTGAGAGAACCACACAGACAACTTTGTGCCAAGAATAGAGTTCTGAGAAGCCATGTGGATGACTTTTGAGAATGAATTAGAGTTTTGAGAAGCCACATGGATGACTTTTGGTTATCATTCAGAGATTTTCGAACATAAGATGACTTTTGGGTTATCATGTAGATTTTTTATACAAAATGATTCAATTTATTATTGTCTTCTCTGGGTAGTGTTGTAGGCAGAAGTCTGCCATTCTGCCAATGGCAATTGCCAGCAGTAGGTTGAGGACCTTGGGCAAAAGTTGGCAGAAATCAATGTGAATCTTGTTTGTACTACAAGTAAATAGCATATGATCAATGTTCAAAAAAGTGTATCTGAGCCTCTCTGCACACCAGAATGTCATCAAAAAAGTCCAAGGGACAGCTGGACCATCATATACATGCATGTCATATTCATCCTGAGTTAGCAAAAATATATTGGATGAAGATGAAATGATATCCCACCCGCATCACTGGGGACACCACTGAAGGGTCTTTCACTTGGTGCATTGCAACCTCCTTCTTTGACCCTCTCAATCTTGATCTGTATTTAATTTAATGAACAGGTCCCCATTCATTTTTTCTTAAATCCATCTAAATGAAAAAGGGCACAAATCAAATAATTCTACTAGGCTGGTTGCTCACAAATTCATCTTTCCTCGACAATGTCAAATATTCCCATGTCAAAGCAGTCAGCAGATATACGAAGATTGTTGCAATGCTTTACAATATATTGCTTTAAATAGCTTTCTCATCTGTTCATGGGTTTACTGATGTACATCATCAACTAATGTCGTACACATATTAGCTTACATAATCTGGAGTTTTGCCACCCGGCAGCCTGAGAACTGACACAAGTAGCTCTGCCCCCTACACTACCTGGGGTTCTGGGCCCTCCGGAACCCCAAATGGATTTCCCGGATATGGCGCCATATGGTGTCGCGCCGCATAGCACGACGCGAGGGGACTCCTCGTTTGTGACTATTACAACCTTCCCAGCGACATTCAATGAGCGTATTTTGGTATCCATGAAAATGGGCGGAATTGAGATGCTCCTTAAGGCCCTCCAGTGTTGTGACAAATCCGCAGCATGTGTCGTCATGTAGCCACAGGCAGGTACAGGGAAATGAGGAGTGATGATGAGGAGTAATTGAAGATGGCTCTGGTAGCAAAGATGGTATTACCCACGAATATGATAGTTGCTCCGCGTGGAGCTGGATGATTCCACCACATCAAATTGTGAGACATAGAAATGACCAGTGTCGTCTTCACAACTCTGAGCAAAGGGAAAGCTTCCAGACCCTAAACTGGCAATCTCTGGAGTGTCGATGAAAGCCTGGGGTTTTCCTAGTACTTGGGAAGACGGACCGGCATCCAAGCCCAGATAATCAACTGCGGAGCGGGGTGCACCAGATCGTAAAGAATTGAAGTGAACAAAAATGAGCTTCAGGTGAGATATTAGGTGCATGGACTCAAGTACCTTGAACTAGCGCCGATGTTAGAAATTTTCTGAACATCCTCTGCCGTCTCTGTTATACTGTGTCTAGCCACCTCAGCTTGTTCAGCCTCAGCATTAACACCATTTACGACTTCTTTTGTACTCCGCCTCGCCGAACCAACTTTTTCAGCCTCATGCTCAGCCTTCGTATTCGCGGTCGAGTAAAGCTCTTGAAGTTCGCACAATGTTCGAAGGCAGGTCTCAAAATCCTGGAGACACCATGCTTTCACGAGCCACTGCTGGAGCTTCTGTCCCATAAAGGCCGTCAAGATAGAGCGGAGGTCGTCATCCCACTCTGCCAGAGAAAGATGATACACCCAATGAGTGCAAGCATAATCAAGTGCACCCGAATCCGATCTGCACCGATCCTTGAGGGCATGCACGTCGTTCACGATTTCGGCCACTGCATGCAACATTTCCATATGAAGTTCTTGCTCCTGAGTCGATGGACTCGAAGTTTGGCCACTTCTGGGAGTTTCAAATGCCAGAAATATTGGAAATGCAAGGAGTAGAGGCAGGGACCGAAAGTTCACTAGGAAGCGGAAAGCAGGTAGGGCATCAACCGTGGACAAGTCGAGGTGCTGCAAAATTTGCCAAGTACAGCAAAAATATCGCAAAGCTAGAGCTGTGCGAAAATCGGCCTGAAGTCCCGTATTCTGACGTTGCGTGATGTGCCAGAGCAAGGATAAAAACGGTAGAGGCACTGGCGGTGAATATATTGCGAATGCTAGAACGTCCGCATTGTCAAAGGTATTTAGCGACACGGGGCTGCTTTCTGTTGTTAGCTGGGATAAACGGGAACAGAGAGGACTGTCATCCGGTAACTCCTTCATCATGATACTCAATGAAGAGTAGGCTAGCAGACGATGAACCACGGCTTGTGAAATGAACTGCTTTCCGCAGCGCAGAGAATTGGACAGGAAATCGTAAAGGGATTCGTGACAGACTTGCACAGCGCTGTCATGACCATCCGGAATGTGGACCAGGGGTGACAATTGGGACAACGCGGAGCGTATGTCAAACTTTTGGTTGGACCCTCGATTCAGAAGGTCATCTAGTTGCGAAAACGACAGCATGCCAGCAAGATTCACAACGATCGTGAGATGAAGGTATGCTTGCTCCAAGTCGTCGGCTGTGGATATGATGGATTTGTAGAAGCCATCCATTGATGACTCTGGAGGCGATGAGGGGTCGAAAGGAATACAGTCAACGAGATCCATCCTATCTGTGGGGTCATGGTCAAGGCTTCCAACAAATTTTACGATGATAGATCCTGTAATAAAGTAGGGTCCCACTCTATCCACTAGACGGCCGAGCACCTCTTCCGGTGGCCACGGCTTGCGACACTGAAGACGGTGACGTTTGTGTATCTTATCGAAAGATTGGCGAAAGAATAATCTAACGTCCCTAGTAATGACAGTACGGTCCAGAGCAATGTCCGATCTCATTGGAGAGTGATGACGCTTGATCAAGACTCCTACATGGTCACGGCTTGTGAAGAAGATGCGAAGGCCCACATCCATCATATGGGAGAGAAGTCGAGTAAGAAGTGAAATGAGTTCGTGCACTTGGTCTTGACATTGATCTACAGCATCGACAACGAACAGATTCGAAGGAGAGCGCCAGACAACTGCCTCTAGAGGTTCAATAAGAAGCCGAGCAAATTGCTCGCGCAAATCTCGAGAAGGGGAAACTATACTAGGATCGTTGTCCAGGGCTTTGATTATTTTTTCCTTCGCCTGCGGATGAGACAGCCCAAGTTGATACGCAAGCGCGAGCACGAGAGAACGTGCGCTTCTGCAATTTGCGTGCCTGCGAGAGAAAAAAAAGCTGCCTGCCAATCTATTCTTCTGTTTGCAACGACTAGCAAGATTGTATGCAATGACAGATTTTCCTGTACCGGAAGGTCCGTGAAGCCATGACATAGCATTGACATTACTAGGGTGCTCGACGAAGTCCGCTTCGAGCCCTTCAACGAGGCGAGCACGATCACTGCCCAGTTGAATCATCGGTAGAGGTCCTCGACAAGGCGAGTCAAACAAAGCACCGAGGGGGACAAATCTACAAAAGAAGGCCCAAGTATAGTCTTGAGTCGAGGGTTCCGTAATCAATGGGGGAATATTGTTCAGTAGAGTGCACAACGTCCCATGTTTGAGGATTGCATTGAACCGTACGAAATTACAGATCCTGCAGGCACCTTGCGAGGGGAGCTTAAGAGTTTGTCAGTAATAATCAGGCAAATGACCCAAGATACACGACCCGTACCACTATATCACTGTCTATAACTGCTCTAGGCACAAAGGTAGCAGAAAGCTGATGATCAGAGTCAGTCAACGAAGGCGAGCGGATCACAAAGTATTACAGGTAGATTGAACAAATCGTTATTGGAGTAACTTGGTAGCGCATTTGAATTTTGGTTGGGGTACGACGGCAGGTATTCCTGTAACCAATTAAAGACACGATAAATGCACAGCAAGCGTGTTAGATGGAGATCGGAAACGTACACCAGGAAGTTCTAATACTGGCAGGGTTGGAGGTGAATATGATGGGGTAGGTCCAAGTTCAAACTTTGGCATCAACGGAAGCCTATCAGCTTCACAAATGTTGGCGAGCGAATAGCAACGCACAATATGACCATGATCCCACAGTAAACCCCGCCTCGGTCGGTGACGTACAGTTGAATCAGCTGCAATGTGATCCGATATGAGACGCCTCCTGTCAATGGTTTTGGACATCGTCCCGCTGAGATTTAATGTCCAATCTCCTCGCTTCGACTGAGCCAAGCCGCAGAAGATGGTCTCGTACAGAAGTACATCTACGCGCTTCCAACCTTGGTTTTCTTGCATGAATGGAAGCACCGGCGCGAGGTTGCAGCGAAGCCTAAATGCCTCCTCATACCCCGCATGGAGGTGGTGTGGTATCAAGCTCTTCTCGTGGGGTGTGAGCGGTTTGTCGAAAGCTGAATATATCGCTTCGAAAACATCACGAACGCGAATGCCTTTATCACGCTTCACGCAGATATCCCATTGTAAGGGATTGTGCTGGAATTTGATGGTCATATCGGTCAGTTCCTTGTTCGCAGCCGGCTTGTCGAGATCGGCATCAGACAGGGGCATCCGTTGGATCCTGTAAGAGGAGTCCTGCATGTACTCGATGTCGTGGGTTGGAAAAGCGATGTCGAAGTGAACGGATAGGTTAGGTTGAGCTGGATGGTACGAAAGCAATTGCCAATGAAGATTCGGTGCAGGAATTAAGGCAGGCGACACTGAACCAGAGGAGTACGGACCCGCGAACTCCATGGATGCATCTACATCACCATATGAATCGAAGAACTCGAGCTCTTCACCACTTTCGGATATGTCACGAGTGTGGTTGGGTAGCAAAAAAGTAGAATTGTGCAACTCTGGGCTCGGGTTCCATGACTCCAGCCGTGGCGGTAATGCAGTACTGTTGTGAAGCGCAGGAGGCGGAGTTGTTGCGCTGGACGCATTACTGGCTGCAAGTTTAGATTACAATTAACATGATGTCCTTGGACTGCAAAATAAATAAAAAGAAGACCCACTCAACGTGGCACTGGGTTCCCGTGGGGCTTGTGCTTGGCCCACGAGTTGCGAGGAAGAATCGGGGAGAGGGGGGGATCTCGAGCGAGGCGACTGCAGCGGGGGGGGATACTGCGCCGGGAGGTAGTGCCCTGGGTCGGGAGCTCGCCAATGGGGTACTGGGGTGATGTGGCCAGTACGCAGAGTTTTTTTGGGAAAAAGTGGCTTTGACTTTGATTTGGGGGATTTACCAAGTGCGACTTTCGTGTTAGATGATGACTCAGATGAGTCGCTCTGCTGAAAGTCTGAATCTGTCCTGAGAGAATTCGTGTCTATATTCGCCCCTCTAGCACGGGCTGTGATAGGGGGACTTGCAGAGTCCGGGCGCATGGGGCCCATAGTATATGTCCAAAACACTAGATGATGGTCGGAGTCAGCGTCAATACTTGACCATCCTGTGCCATAATCACCAACTGATTCCAGATTTGGCAACCAAATGTTCGGGACATGCCGATCCAAAATTTCAGTCAATTATCAATGTCCGACAACCTTTAACAGCGAGCTCAGTACAAGCCACGATGGCAACGCACGCACTCTTTGAGTCAGCATCGGGATACGCCATCTTCGATGTAAAACTCCATGAAAACATTGGCTCGCGTGTCAAAGCAGTCCAAGACTCCATCAACGACCTCTCAAAATTCGGCAAAATGGTCACTCTTGTCAGTTTCTCGCCATTCAAAAACGCAGCGGATGCTCTCGAGAACATGAACGACGTCTCAGAAGGTATGCTTTACGGAACCTATTCCTCGTGCACACAGAAATATCAATGGTCCCTAGGCATTCTCAGTGATCATCTTAAATCTCTCCTCGAACTTAATCTCTCGAAGCCTAAGAAGGGCTCCAGGATAGTCCTCGCAGTCTCAGAAGTCGGACTCGCAAACTCCATCTTCGAAAACCTCGCCATAAAATGCGACGCCTCTGAAACCTCCCAGGAAGTCCTCCGCGGCATCCGCTTCCATGCACCAAAGCTTCTCAAGGGCCTCGATGCTACCGACCTCATCAAAGCCCAACTCGGTCTCGGCCACTCCTACTCCCGCGCTAAATTGAAGTTCAACGTCAACCGTGTGGACAATATGATCATACAAGCCATCGCCCTTCTCGACCAGCTCGACAAGGACGTCAACTTGTTTGCCATGCGTATACGAGAGTGGTACGGCTATCACTTCCCTGAACTCGTCAAACTCGTGCCAGACAACTACCAATACGCCCGCATTGCACAGTTCATAGGCGACAAGGAAACTTTGACAGAGGAAAAATTGCCCGAGCTCGCTATCCTCTTGGAGGACGACTCCACCCTCGCACAAAATATCCTCGACGCCGCCCGTGGCTCGATGGGCTCATCCATATCGGAAATCGACATGCTCAACATCTCCGCATTCGCAGCTCGCGTCGTTTCCATTGCTGACTACCGCAAATCCCTCGTTAACTACCTAAGCGAGAAAATGAATCTTGTCGCTCCGTCTCTTACCGCGTTGTTGGGAGAGCGGATAGGCGCACGGCTGATCAGTCATGCGGGTAGCTTGACAAATCTGAGCAAGTATCCTGCTAGTACCGTGCAGATCCTTGGTGCAGAGAAGGCGTTGTTCCGGGCGTTAAAAACCAAGGGCAACACCCCCAAGGTTCGCTACTCCGTCCTGAGCGCCAATCAAGCTAATTTTTTTCCAATACAGTACGGTCTGCTATATCACTCCTCTTTTATCGGCCGTGCAGACCCTAAGCACAAAGGCCGAATATCTCGGTTCCTCGCAAACAAATGCTCTATTGCCTCCCGGATAGACTGCTACTCGGGTAACTCCACCACATCTCCATCCACTTACCCCTTACTCAAAACACCCAGATAACCCATCCGCAAAATTCGGCGAGGCCCTCCGCACACAAGTCGAAGAACGTCTCAACTTCTTCGAGACCGGGGCACCACCGACCAAGAATGTCGATGCCATCCGCAAAGTCCTCGACAGTCTTGCACTGGACTTGGAGGACGACGAGGATGAGGATATGGAGGATAAGCCAGACGCTCAGATGGATGATGCAGAGCCTATATTACCCTTGATTGAAGTCACGCCTAAGAAGGACAAGAAAAAGAAGAGGTCGAGAGATGATACGGATGTGGATGAAGCGGACGAAGAGCCTGCGGAGAAAAAAGTGAAGTTGTCCAAGGAGGAAAAGAAGGCTTTAAAGAAGGCAGCCAAGGCAGCGCGTAAGGCTGAGGCTGCCGCTGCTCCTGACGTACGCTGGAACTTGTCAAATAATCGCGGTCTCGACTAACTTTCCTTCTTCAGAATGGCACCTTTGAGAAAAAAGAAAAGAAAAAAGACAAGAAAGACAAGGATAAAAAGAAGAGTAAGGCATGATATGATATCTGTGGCATACCTTTTCGTCCCGGTTGTTGTCTTTTTGTATTTCTGCTTTCATGATCGTCTTTGCCCTGATGGACGGCTGATTCTTACGTCAACGATCCGTTCTAGTTAAAATTCGGTGTACTGCTGACTCGTGCAATCAACTCCAACCAACACCGTTCGTTTCCCTCGTTCGGCTACCCTCAACTCTAACATAATGGTTCTCCGCTGCCACCGTCCAACGACGAACTTACGACGCGTGCGTCCGCCTGCGTGTGGTAGATCGATGGCGTTGAACAACTCTAGCGACCGACAAAATTGCGCGTTTCACTGCAAATAACAGAACGCACGTGTAGTGGAACCTGTCTTGTATATCTACTTTCATGGTTGCCCGTGTGCCCTAATAAATGTGTAAGTTCCTGTTCGTCCTTGATTGATACTCCTGGTGCGCTACTATAATATGCACATTGACTACAGTAACATGAGGTAAATATAAAACAACACCATGCAACGAATGTTCAGGTATGGTTATTATGATTTCGTCGAGTCCCGTTCCAAAATGCACATCTTCCATGGAAAATTAGCAGCACCTGAGATATACTCTGTTGAATGCCGTTCCAAATAACACACTACCCATGCCCCAGCTACTCCATCCCCATATTCGCAGCCTGCAGCACAACCATCGCAGTCGCGCACCCAGACACCACGAACGCAGTTGCCACATCCCCAATCGTCTTACTTGTCACCTCATGCCCCACCACCCTATACTCCTCCACCAGATCTTTCAACTCAGCATGATGGTTCTCCACTGCCAATCGCTTCGACCGTCCAGCGACAACCAACACCCGCTGACACATTGATGCGCGCTGGATCGCAGCGTGCAGCGGGACAGGGGATGCAAGGTTTGTGAAATTGATCCGCGAAAGTGCAACACGCAACGGCCCAGTATATCCGAATCTGATAGATTGCGGCCCGCATATCGTGACCAGGTTATGCTGTCGGCTGTTTCAGACTGCATACGCATTTCGGTGTTGGGTTGCCCGTAGACAGTGTCTGGGAATCCTACTATCTGCGTAATCCATGATAAAATGTTATTCGGTTCAGTGTGGAGAAAGTAGTGGCGCTCACTGATGATGTCGTCAATCCATGTTGATGAGGAAGTGCGAGAAAGTCAGTATCAGCTTTGATATCGGAGTGGGCCGTAAGAGGCCGCTCGATTGGAGTGTTTTCAATCTCGCGCTTTTTCCATCTTCACCACCGTTGCATTGATCTTTGGGTTCGCACAGAGCTGCACCACAAATTCCAGCGCAAGGCGGTCATCAGGACCGCCAAAGAACGGGAAAAAGACGTGATACGAGCCGCCTGTCCCCGCACACGTGTTGATATGATTTCCAGGATCGACAAACAGGGCGACATCTGTCCGACTTTGTGCGAATACCCCACGTACAAACTGCGAGTGGACGGTAGATGTAGATTATCTCTTGATGTGCCGAAAATAGCCTCGAAAGGATTGTGGTCCAACTTTTCTCGCCGTGGCGTTGCGCCTTCGCTTGTTTCAGCATCGTCCCAGCGCAAGGTGGCAACCACGGGAGCAGTATGAGCTGGGATGCATTTCGCTTGGCGTGATCCACAACGTTGTAAGCAAGATCGTCATGCGGCACGATGGTGAGCGATGTCGACACGAGCAAATCATTCAGTTCTCCAAACATGCGGAATATGCCCAGGAGCGGATCGGTATGGATAAGCGTATCTGTAGTGGATGATTTCATCACCGCCGACGGACGATCCGAGAGCTCGATGAGGCGGAGTGCACTGATGCTCACTTCGGGCATCTTGTACTTCAACGGGGCTGGGTCAGATGCAGCAGACATGGACACAGCGGTAGTGAGCGAGGAGAAATCCGGTACAGGAGGACGGGCGAGCTGCGTGAGGGCCATCATGGATGGCATATGTTCGAGTTTGTCGAGAACGACGGTAAAGCGATACCGCCAGGGCTGTTCCTCGTTCACAAGAGATTTCTTGTCTGCATCACCCTCCTCGTCGCGAATCTGGGGCGGAGCTCCACCGAAGTGGCGATACACGCCGTTCTGGAGGATACAATGCTGTGACGAGTGGGGTGGTCATGAATGAGCGTCAAAGCTTCTAGCACAAACATGGAAAAAACTTTCTGAGACAAAATGCCAGCGGAGAGACCGACATTAAGCACGATCAACTCTACGAGACTAGGAAACACAATTTAGCAGACGAGAACACCAAAGTAATTTGGATACTTACCCCTTGCAGCTCATGAGTGCTCCAATTGTACTGGCTTCACGCCAGCTGAAACCAGACAACCTTGAGGCAATTGTACATCCACCAAACTTGCCCAAGAATGCAAGGCATATGATGGCATTGTAAAAGCCCAAGTGATACCTGCAACATACAAAACTATATAAGAAAAATAAATAAAACAAGGCGTCTTAGATGACCGACCGTCATCAAGGAGTCCAAGATTAGTGTTCAGCCCTGAGTAGGTAAAATACTGCAATGCATGAATGACCAGGCAGGAGAGAAGTAAGATGAACATACCAAAGGCAGAAATACAATGGTGACCATATCTTCCAGCTTCTCCGTCAAAGCAATGGCGAGACCGCCCTCCCTCGGTACAATA